TGCGACACAAAGTCAAACAAGTTACAACTTAAAAAGTGAATTAATTTTTCTTTCTTCTTTCTTCAGATAAAAAATTAACTCTTTATTTAAAAACTCCCTTTTACTTTACAATCTTTACAAGCTTTGTCAATCTTTGTAAGTACTCTTCTCTCTTTACACAAAAAATGTCTTCACTATTCTCAACTAAAAATAAAAATATAAAAAATTCACTACTAGAATATTTAATCTCATTTTTAAAAATTCTACAAGTTTAATTTATCCATTAAAATTTTTTCTTTATTACTAAAATGATTTCACATTAAACCTGCAAATTTTTACCTTTTTAACTTCAAGAGCGTGTAATTCTTTAAGATTAATTATCACTCCAATTAATTTGAGTTAAAACTACCCGCGTCAAGCATTTAGCCGAGTAATTTGTTAGCACTTGCGAGAATCCAACATTTCTTATTTCTTCTTATATCAAATCTCAGATTCTCGGTTACTTTTTGGACGTACAAAATTTATTCTGAATTTGATCCCAAATTAGAATATAAACCCTCATGGTTTGTTAATTTTCTTTTCTTTTTAGATATCTTAGTAGAAATAAATCTAAAGAATTCAAATCTCGGTAAATCCTCCTAAGATGCGGGACGTAGATCTGAATAATTCTTTTATTCCTCTACTGGGTGCAAGGTTTAAATGTGTTAAAGTCAATGGGTCTATTGCGGGTAGGATTTCGAGGTCTTCAATATGAGATACCCAAGTTTAAGTAACAAAAGACAAATTACTCTTCTTTCCAACTTAAGCAATCAAAATTTTAAGCGCTTGTCACTAAATAAGACCATTTTTTTCTACAAAAGATCTTTTTTTAACACGCTTTTATTAGCTTCGGCTGTATCTATGTATCTGTCTATGTAACGAATCTTTGAACTGGATTTTCGGGCACTTCAAAACCTAGGATTAAATTAAAACTTTGCACACTTATCAAGGACCGATGACAATACAATTATTTAATAAGTTTATCCGATTATCCTGACCCAGGATCGACAGGATTTCCGGTTTTTTTATATCCGAAGACACGGCAGTGCCGAGCGCCAAGTACTAACGCAAGTACTAAGACATTGATAGGCTAATCTTTGAGACGATCATATGACTAAGGTTAGGATCAACTAGGGACCTTTCATACGTTTTACAATTTTTAAAAATTATAGTTTGAAAAAGTAAAATCCACGCTTTGACGGTAAATCGAACTAAAAAGTACAAAATAAATAATTGTTTTAAAAAGTTTAAAACGCGCTTCAATAAAAAACCAAACTAAAAAATAGAAAATAATCTTCAATGGGTTTTAAATAAGAATAGTGTTTTAAAAAATGAAATTTAAATATACAAAGATAATTTTTTCTGTTACAAAAGTGCATTTATAAGTAGGAAGAGACAATTACTATTTTTAAAACAAGCTAATTACAAAAGAGATGACATTAAAATCACGTGTAAGACTCTTGAAAAAAGTTATTTATAAATGTGTGCCTTGGTGAGTAGCGACAATCGATCTTATCGTTTAATTTTAGCGTAGACACACGAAAGTATATAGACTCGAAAATTCAATTAAAACTCTCTATTTGTTTGACAAAGGAAACAATGTGATCTCTTTGTTTTTCTACTTAAAATTATTTTATAGATACTCAAGAAACTTTTTTTTATCCTTATTAAAATATAAAAAAATTATATTTTAAGGAGATCCAAGTATCCTTCTAGTGTCAAGAATGTCTATAAAAAAATAATACATAGAAATACTTTTGTTATTTTAAAATTAATTTTTAAATTAATTAATAACATTTTTGAGGAAATTTCCGAAAAATTTACTCATTAAATAATTATTAATATTTAATTGACTAATAAAAAATATAGCACTCTGAATTACCGGTATACACTTGACAACACCGCAAGAGTTCGCTAATCCTAAAATTTATTTATGTTTACTGTCTAACTAAAATGACTAAGATCTCCTACGGAAATCTACTGTCTATTAATTTTTCTATTAATTATTAGGCTACGTAGAATGAATTTACAAATTTTCAGTTCGAGTCCAGTCTTGAGCATCGCATTTATAATTTCTATTTTTTATGTTAAAAATCGATTACTTTCTAATTGAAAATTATTTTTCTTAATTTAATTATTTTGATGCTTGAAAAAAAAACAATTTAATTAAAACAAAAAAAATTTTCTTTATTTAGTTTTGGTATAAAATCTTTTTTTAGTGAACCCTTTAGTGTGCTTACACAGGACGCTTATAAATAATAAATGTGTATTTAAAATTTCATAAAGATAGCAAGAAAAGTGATTTCCATGGTAGCGTCCTTAAAGTTTTATTTCTTGAAGTATCTTTGAAGTGTTTTTTCGTAAGAATCACTTGTCATAAATTTTTCTTTGAACATGATCAATAATTCAAAGCTTATTGATCCTCTAACACTTGAATAAACAAATAGATCCTCTGAAAAAGTGATTTGCAAATAGTAAAACACTTTTCAGTCTTGAAACTTCTCATAAACCGATGATAAATCACATCATATGTTATAAGTCAAGTGCATTTAAATAAAAAATCGATTGACGTAACCTTTGAATCCCTGCAAGCACAATAAAGCTGTCAATTTATCCGCATCTAAGCTTGTCTCGAAATTAAAAGCTCAACTTTTGACATAAATGCCGAGAAAAATTAATGAATAAATTTTCCCGAGTAATGATTGGTGGAATACAATTAAAAGTTAATGTGTGTTACATTTTTAAGTGAAACTAGCAACCTTGCAGTCACTATGTGACTGCCGTGACTTGTGAAATATAAATAATTAAAATTTTGCATTTATTAAATAATTACTTTTGTTAAATTGCACTGTACTTTCTTAAACATTGACATTTTTAAAGATATAAGCTCATTCCGATGTTACACTCATCAAAAGCTTTCATTTAAGTACCCACATGCGTTTTCATATATTTTTCATATATTCATATATATATAATATATAAAAATATATAAAATATATGAAAAATTGATATGGGTACTCAAATGAAAGATCTCGATAAGTGTAACATCGAGATGAGCTTATATCTTAAAAAATGTCAATACTTCACAAGATACAAGGTCATTTCTTAATTATGTATCTAGAGATAGAGAATTTTTGAATGCAGCCTAAATACATCATAATAAATTGACTATCGGTCATATAATAAATTTTCGAACAATCAATAATAATAATGATAATAATTTTAGTCTAAAAACAAAAGCACTATTCAATCGATAGCAAAAAAATAATAAAAATCAATGATAATGATAAAAACTAAGTGGTATTATACTTATAAAAAAAAAAACTAAAGTGTAAAGTACTTCATAAAAATCCATCGACCTCATATTTCACACAATGAGCTTGATTATTCTTAGTACACAATATGAAACCAACCCGCTCGGAGGGCAACCTAATTTAAACATTATTAATTTAACCATGCGATTGTATAGTGTGTAATGTATAATGTAACCACCTCAACACACTTTTGATCTCTTCCTAGTCTACTACATAGACACTCATTATAATATACCATATAGCAGTCACTCGCTATTTCGGTTTAATGATGAAACTGGATCGTCACTCATTAATTGAAAATGTTACAATTTCATCTACTCAAATGGTTTAATGAAATTCCCTCAAACTCAATTAACCGACAAATGCTTTGTAGTTCGATTTTACCTGATAATTTACCTTATATATCGACTAGCTTCGCTCTGGTTACAACAAACAATAACCCTAAACAATAATAACAAGTATACATTATCTTTTTAATTATTATTATTGTCATTTTTGTTTTTATCAAAAAAAATTATACGGAACAATAGAAATTGTTCTAAAATTACATAGATGTCAACAACCTCAGACAATATTTTTTGGCTAAAATATTTTGGCAATTTTCCAAACTCGGCGAACCTCACAAGCCCGAGAAATGTAATGAGTTTGATGGTAATGGTTTATATATGTACATTAATATTGTAGACGTTGTTAGCTCGTGCGTGCAGGTTATATTAACTCAGATCTAAACTAAAACGTGAGATATTATATTTGTAACCAAGATAAAGATAATTACGTAATTATTTCCTAGTAGAACATATCCTGGCTGTTACATATATATACATCTAAAGAGAGTACGTAATAAAACACGTCAATCATAAGTCATAGCGGGAAAGCGAGTGTAATGTAGTTTGAAAAAGCTTTTGCTCTCTGAGCTTTGCTCCGTCTTTCGTCTCTTTCATTTCATTCTCACCGATAGTCAATTTATGATGACAAGTAATTAGGGTGTATCTTTAGATACATAATTAAGAAATGACCTTGTATCTTGAGAAATATTGACATTTTTAAAGATGTAAGCTCATCCCGATGTTACACTCATCAAGACCTTTCATTTGAGTACCCACATCAATTTTTTATATATTTTATATATTTATATATTTCACAAATACTATATATATAAAATATATAAAAAATGTCATGTAGGTACTTAAATAAAAAGTCTCGATGAGTGTAACACCGAAATGAGTTTATATCATAAAAAATGTCAATAATTAAGAAATTACATTGTATCTTGTCAACCATTGACATTTTTAAAGATATAAGCTCATCCTGATGTTACACTCATCGAGACCTTTCATTTGAATACCCTCATCAATTTTTTCATATATTTATATATATTATATATAATATATATATTATATATGTATATATAAAAAATATATCAAAATGCCATGTGAGTACTCAAATGAAAACTCTTGATGAGTGTAACATCAGGATGAGCTTATATCTTTAAAATTGTCAATATTTAAGAAAGTACAGTGCAATTTAACAAAATTCATTATGTAATAAAGCAAAATTTTATTATTTATAATAATAATTGATAAACAATTTTTTTTTCTTTTTCAGTTAAAACCTCGGATGGACCAAAGTGATGTAAAATGAAGAAACTATTGAGGGTGATTTTACGAGATGAGTGGTGATAGAAATAATCTCACAGAGTTAATAGATGTCGTCGGGTTAGAAAATAATAATAAAAGTGAATTAATATCGAAATCGGGGAAGTGTAATAAAGCTTATGCGAATGTTACCCCGAAATTTGAATGTGGAAAGCGCGTAAAATTTATTTTAATAAAAAAAAAAAGTGGTCAATTACTGTGCGCGGGTTCAAGCGGTCCAAGTTTGGTCCGCCGCCTACACCTCCCTAGCGGTATGGTCCTTTGGGCCACTATGCTTGTTCTCTACGGCGTAGGATTTGTTGGTAAATATTTACAAAAACACTTTTTCACTTTATTTATTTATTTAGTAAACAATATTGTTAATAGCATGTCGCTCTGATTAATTATTAAATAGGCTTTTAGATCGCCGGAGTATTTATAGAATAATCGATCGCTAAAGTTAGTTTCTTATTTATTTATATAGTTTGTAGTTTATAATAAACATTTTCTCTAGAATTTCTCGAGTTAAATACAATAAATTTGTAAATACGCTGACGGGTTAAGCTTCAATTTATTTTCATTGCAATTTACGGCCAAAAAAATAAATTGCATGGCTGCAATTTCTTGTTTAGTTAAAGCCAGAATAAACAAAACAATATTTTTTTTTTTTTTTGAAAAAAAATAATATTATTTTTAAAAAAGATTCATCCATAGTCACCCGCAAAAATTTCCTTTTGTTTCTTACTTGATTCAATAAAAATATTATCTTTTTAAACTTCATCCGTGCTTCGGAAGATTCAATTTAAATTAATTCCAGTTATTTGCTTGCGAATCAATAACATATAATACAGAAGAAAAAAAAATAATTCATTGAAGAATTGTCTTAATTGTTCCAAGCTCTTTTTGTATTAACAATTCTAATTGAAAAAATTTTTTTTTGGTAAAAAATTAAAATATTTTAAAGCTTATAATATTTTTTACAAAAAAGTTAAGTTACTTAATAATATAACAAAGTTAAAAAAGAATGAAATTGTCAATTTCTAAGATTCGTATTTTAAAATTTCGCGGGCTTTGCGCGCATGCGCTGGAACCGTTCCAGCGCATGCGCAGATCTAAAATCATGTTTTTAAGATATTAACCTTGAATTTCTTCAAAAATTAAAGTTACTATAATCATTTTTTGCTGTTTTTAAACAAGGTAACTTATATTTTAGTTAAAAGTATTTTTTTCTTTAATTAAGACTCTTAAAAACATTTTTGACTTGTCTAAAAAACATTAATAATCTGAAAATTTTTTTTATATTTTATACTATTAAAAATGAATTTTTAATACTTAAAATAATGGTATTAAGTGAAAAAAATATTTTTTTTAACAATAAATTAATGTAAAAAAAATTCTTTAAAATTTTTTAAAGCTTACAATATTTTTAACAAAAAAATAAAGTACTGTATTGATATAACAAAATTAAAAAAGAATAAAATTGTCAATTTCTAAGATTCGTATTTTAAAATTGCGCGGGCTTTGCGCGCATGCGCTAGAACGGTTCCAGCGCATGCGCAGATCTAAAATCATGTTACAGAGCAATTATTCTTTAATTTCCTTAATATTTAAAGTTATTTAAATGATTTTTTGCTGTTTTTAAACAAGGTAACTTATATTTTACTTAAAAATATTTTTTTCTTTAATTAAGATACTTAATAACATTTATTAAAAACATTTTCGACTTGTTTCAAAAATACCAATAATTTTAAAATTTTTTTAATTATTCTAATAAGTTTTAAATACTTTAAAGAGTTATTTTAGGTTTGTCATTAAAATTTCTAGATGTTAAAAATATTTCGTATGTATCAATTACTTTTAGGACAAAGTACATTTTTTACAAAATAAAATTTATTATAGCAAAAAAAAATTAATCTACTTATAAGAATTTTCAATCAAAGTTCCAAACTCTGGAATCTGCAGAATTTAGGAAGAAAACAATAAAAGTAACTTTAGAAAAAAAAAAAAAGAATTTGCCCTAGAATTGTTAATGATGTTACAAAAATATATAAAACACGAAAACAGAAAACATCAACAGAAACTTATATTTATTTGCTTCAATAAGACATATAAATAGCCGTATGACTGACATTATCTTTCACCCATCACTGAAATATCATTTTAATTTTAAAAATTCACTCTTGTTTATATTTACACTCTCATTTCTGTTCTTGTTCTTCTTCTCTCTATTTATATTTTTTATAGGTTCTATGACAGGCGTGCCAGGCGTCCCGGAAAACGTAACAGTCATGTTCCTCAGTCCGACATCCGTCCGTGTATCCTGGAGTACAAGCCAAGTAGATCAGGTGGAAAAATACGACGTGACATACAAACCGACAGATGCAAGGTGCGTGGTTAAATGGTTAATTTAAGCACATTTCATTATTTATATTATAACACATAACCTATTATCTATATTTACAGTTTCCGCATGAATTAATAACTTTTTACTTTATAAATGTATATATGTAATATAAGAATTATAATAATATTTATATTAAGTCAAGGACTTTCACACGATCAATCAAATTTACTTTTATGAATGAGTTGTGGTTTTCTTTTATTACAATACATTTTTTTATTTCTTCTTGAAATTAAATTTAGAAAAGTAAAAGCCCCAATCATAACTTTGTCTCTAATTGTATCAATTGGGGGTTTTTCCTTATTTCTTCCCTAATTTGTGTACAAGTGAAGAAAAAATAAATTCTTAATCATTTTTTACCAAAAAATAAATTTTAAACTTTCTAAGCATTAAAAAAATATTATTCAATATTTTATCAAAATTTTAATATAATTGTAACATATTTAAGTTTAAGCGCAGCTTAAACTTAACAGCGCGCCATTTTGTCGGCTTGTGACGTCACACCCGCCATCTCCTCTACCTGGCGCATAAAAAATAAAAAAACTCTTATTTTAAGCTAAAAAATTTTATATATATTTGATTGTTAAAAAATCCTTGACTTTCTATAATTAATACTTCCTAATCAAGGTACCTAAAAAATATAATAACCATAAAAACAAAATTAATGACGGAAACAGCACAATTTTTTCCGCGAGCACTTTAAATTAAAATTTCGGTTGTTTTGCGGCAAAGGAATTTCACAAATGACAGGTATTGATTTATATAAAATAAATAAAATAAAAAAATATTTCATGTTTCAAATTACAATCATTAAAATCATCAAAATCAATAAAATTAATTATCTTCCGTACTTAGTATAAAAAAAAACAAAAAGATCTAGGTTATAAATTAGTTAAACATGTCATCTCACAAAAAAGCGCGGATTTTTAGTGCGAGGACATCTAGCGTAGGTTCTGCTTACTTCGCGGCACTTTGCATAACCTCATAACATACCATAACTCTAACCTAGAACTAGTTTAACAGTTTGTGACGTAGAACGGATTAATTAATAGATGGTTGCTTGAAAAAAAATGTATAATATATTTTAGTAACTAGTTAATTTTTGTTCCGACATAGGAATGAAACCATCGATGCTTACGAGCCCGATAGGCTCAATTCGTGCAATGAAACGTACAATGAAACGTTCATCTTAAGTTACAACGAACCGTACAACGAGACGTACGATGATGATGATGATGAAAATGAAAAAAGGTATATTTTCGTTGTCAAAAAGTCTATCGTGTGTCATGTGCCTAGCTACATGTTATCATCCGCAAGAATCAACAGACAAAGACAAAATAAACTTAAGACTTGACACCAGAATCAGAACAGCCATTTTTAAATAAATTCTTTTGCTACTATTGAGTCAAAAAAAGAAGACTAGTTTTTTAAAGGTTAAGTTTTAAAAAAATGGTCTTATTTTTCGTGAATTATTTATTTTCTAATTAAAATTTAAGTTGGAAATTTAATTAGCAATCAGCGCAAGCACTTTTTGACATTTGATGCTTATTAATAATTAGTTAACTGCTGATAACTTTTGGTTGATTGGTAAAAAAGTTTAATTAGAGTAGAATAATACAGTGGATAGAAAAGACAATGATACATTGTGAGCTAAATGTACTGTAAAATGCACTAATTAATTGTTCACACGATAAACTTAGCACATATAGTATACCAATTTCATGTAGTTTCATTGAAACTGTTCAGCCAGAGGAGGGTATTATCCTGTTTGATACATTATGAAGATGTTAATAGGTTTTTATGCGATTATTTAATGGAAGTTCTTTTATATTGCTGGTTACATGGAGAAAATTGTTTTTGTAATGAGTTTGCTGTTAAATATAGTTCAAATACACTGTTGTTGAATATATAAATTTTTTTTAGAATAAATTAAAATTTATTTCAATAAAAAAGATGTTTTTTTATGGAAATAATTTAGAAGAATTTAAAGAAGAAATGATTGAAGAGAATTTCTAAAAAATTCCCGCTTTTTTAACATGAAGAACGTCATTTTCATGTATAGTTTCTGCCTATCTATATTAGTGCCGCCATCTATTGGATTTTTTTATGATATAACATCACTATTAGTAGAAATATTAATTATAAAATATAGTAAATTGAAGTATATACTTTAAATTTTAAGTAAGATGGCGAATTAAAAGGAATAAAACTAAAATATTAAGTATAAAAAATTACAACAAAGAAAAAAAGAGTAAAAATTGATCTCTTCAATCATTTCCGCGAGATATATTTTCATCAGGGGTCAATAAATTTTATTTTAAATATAAATAAAAACAACAATAGAAAATCATAAAGTGATACTTGAATTTATGTATTTGCAGTATCAAACAAATAAACGTACTAAGATACATAAATTTAGAAATAGACCAAACAAAGCATGTATAAAAAAATTGGTCGTGACCAAGAGCCTGAAGGGTCACTTGAACTTTATTATTGAGCAGGTTCGAACCCCGGCGGCTGCAAAATAACGCACTTAGATAATAAAAAGTTATCTTTTTTTCTGACCTTTAGTATCAAAATTAAATTAAAGAAAAAAATTAGATATTTTGTGATGAAATCTGATGTTAGAATATTTTTTTAGTTTGATAAAATTAATAGAGATAAAGAGATTTATTATACTGTTTTTGGACACTTGAAACAATTGTTGTTTCGGATCAAATTTAATAAAATGAAAGAAGAAATACACAATTTTGTTAATTTTTTTTATTTACTCATTAGTGTATTGAAATAATTTAAATGCTTTTTCTTAATATGAAAATAAGAGAAGAAATAAATAAAAATTTTTGGTAATATTTGAGCAACTTTTTCTTTATTTATCGAATCAAAATCTAAAAGTACCAAGTGTCTAAAAATTGTATATCTAACCCTATACTGAAAAAAAAGTATTTTTCCTTCTAGTAAATTTATTTCTTTTGTAAAGAAACTAGTATTCTTGTGGGAAAAATAGCAAAGTTTAATCCCCACAGCAATACCTATTTTTACTGCAGCAAAACTTGCTTTCACTGTCAGTAAAATACCAAAATTAAAACAAAGTAAACTTAACCTCACTTAATTCACTCGAATATATCTTCGAACAATTACGGCCTATTTTATTTTTTAATTAATAAACTATAAACAATTGCAGATATTTATTGATAAATATTAACCAACACTTTGATAACTGTGTAAAGACATATTTTTTTAACGTTTAACAATTTGTAAACAAACAGCTGCTTTTTGCATAACAATTACCAACACAAGCCGTCATTACTTTTGGTATGCTATAATATGGGGTATCAGTCCCAGGATTAAAGTTGTAAGTGCTTTGGGGATTATACCAATTTTTACAGTACCAATACGTATTTTCACTGTAAGAATACTCGCTCAATACTTAATATTCTTGCAAAAATAATTTTTTTAGTGTAATCTTCATAACCTTTTAGATCACCAATTATATTAATAGAAAAATAATTTTCTCCATGTGAAAAAAAAGATAAATTTTATTCCTAATTCGAAACTACCTAAGCAAAAAAATTCCGTCTAGTCTAGTCTAATAAAGTAGCCATTAAATTTAGATGAGGCTGCAACCGAAAACGCTGTCTAGTTGTAGCTTAGTTTTGTAGTAAACATAAACCTAGTTTTTAAAAATAAAAAATATATTTAAATATTTATTAGTACAACAAACATCTTTAAAAAAGTTGAGTATTGATTGCAACAAAGATCAATTTAGCTTTCGTGTGTCGAGAAAGTTGGAATGAAATAAAATAAGTGAAGAAATGAATAAAAGAGAAGAAGAAAATAATAAATATGTACAATATTGTTGTAAGAAAACTTTGAGGAATAAAATAACAATGGCATGACGGTTAGTTACAGGATGGTGCGGTTGGTCGCAGGAAACAGCGATGCAGTTACTCTGAACGACCTTCAAGCTGACACGCAATACCAGTTGGTGATTACTGCGGTGAGGGCCGGAAAAAAGTACAGAAGTCGGCCTATTGTCTTCCGCACCCTGGGTAATTCATTCATAATTACCTCATCATACTTTCATATGTCTCATATATTATTACTCTCTTGCTCTTTCCCTTTTTAAATTTATACTTTATTGCACAAGTCATGCCTCCACTTCGCGCCTTATATTTACAGCTCTTTTTAGCCTTAAGTGCGAAAGGTACTGCATAATTGACGAAAAAAGAATTTTCACCCTAAAATACATTTTTTTAACAATTTTTTTTCTTTAACAGTTCCATGCAAGAATTTTATTATTAAAATAATTTTTTTATTTAATTTAAAGCTTTTTAAAACAATATTCGACGATATTTTAATATATTGTAGCTTTTTTTTAATTTTTAAATGTTAATTTTAAAAATTCCCGCTCTTTTAACAGAAGAAACGCCAGTTTCATGTATAGTTTAATTAGTTTTTTCCTACTAACGCCATCTATTGATTTTTTATGAAGTATAATTAACATGATTGAAAATATAGAATTTTTACTATAGTAAGTTGTAATAAACGCACTATATTATGAATTTTTAATAAAATGACGGCTTGAAATTGTGGAAATAAGAAACAAATTAAAGAAAGTAAATTACAATTTTTTAAAATCTTTCAATTTTATAATTTTGCATGTTCAATTTTTAATTTTGCATTTTTAATGTAAAACTTTTTAAAACAATATTCGATAGCATAAACGTTCAAATCCAAAATTTTTAATATATATTGTAGGTTTTTTTTTAGTTTTTAAAAGTAAATTTTTAAATTCCCGCACTTTTAACCGAATAAACGCCATTTTCATGCATAGTTTCAATAGTACTATCCTACTAACACCATCTATTGATTTTTTTATAAAACAAAATTAATATTACTGAAAATATAGAATTTTTACTATAGTAAGTTGTAGTAAATACAGTATATTATGAATTTCAAATAAAATGGCGGCTTCAAACTGTAAAATTAAAACAAAAATAAAGAATGTTAATTACAATTTAAAAAAATCTTCAAATTTTATAATTTTTCATAGAAAATTATATTTAATGGTATTAAAAAAAATTAATTTTATAATTAATAATAATTTTAAGATTAATAATTATTAGGTTGAAACTGAAAATATTAATTAGTATAATGAGTAACTTTTTTGGATAAAGAAATTTAATTTAAAATAATTAAAAAAAATTAAAAATAATTGAATTAAAAATAATTATAAATTAAAAATTAATGTTCACCTTTGCAGAAAAGTGTACAGCTTAAATTATTCTGTTTGAATTTTTATAAAAATTAAGCTAGCCGACATCTAAAAATTTTATTAATTCACGGAAAAAAGAAAAATTGAAAAATTACATTATAAAGAGTAATAAGCGTTGCTTCATATAAAAAACTAGAAAAATTGCAGTTCGAAATAACATTTTTTAAATTCAAATTTTGTAATGTTAATTTTCTAGAGCTTTCAATGTAATATTTACATTTTACAATGTAATTCTTACAAAATCTGTAATAATTACAATCTGAACTGTAATTTTTCCAGTTTTTTATACGGAGCGCCACGTTCCATTATATAATGTAATTTTTCTATTTTTTTTTTATTACAAATCTTCATTTGTAAAAAATTACTAGTGCAATTTTTAAAAAATATTTCTAAGTTCTAATTAAATGAAAAAAAAAAAAAAGGAAATAAAAACGTCGGCTAACTTTAGTATTGTTGAAGTTATTATTCTCACCTAGGTTATAAGATTCAGGAAGTAAACATTGTAACTCGTTATCGATTCTGTTTGCTCACTAATATCCTGACACGCTTTTCAATAATCAAAAGATTTAAAAAAAAATATCCAATTTTACGGCTGTAATTATTAATAAAAAAAAAATATAAATTACTTAAAAAAAAAATAATTTTTTAATAAAAAGTGACCTAAAGAGGTTAAAATTAATGAAGATATTAATTTTTGCTATGCAGAAAATACAACTAGCGCCAAATTTGCCACTTTCGTAAACATATTGCAAATAATTATCTATAAAACAAAATTAAACATACTTAAAGAAAAACACTGCGTGTTTTTCGCAACAATTGAATAAAAAGTATGTTCAAAGATAATTAAAACACATTTGTGCGTAATCCGTACAACCTTACGGTATTTCCTAACCTAAATAAATAGCGCGTCAGTGTTTTTGCTCACTTCTTTGTTTTAATCCTTCCGTAGGCCTGCAATGTAAATAGACCAATAGACGAAACAGTTAGCAGACTCTAATTGCTCTGACGATTCTCTACTTAGATAAATAATTCGAAAGTAATTGTTCTGTGGTTTAAAAATTACAGGCTACATAATGAATAAATGCTATGATTAACGAGCATTAATTATCACATTTGTTCTTATGTAATTATTTCGAGTATAAATGTCAGATTCGTTTATAAATAATTCATTTGATAGTATTAGACAGTAATTAATCAAAATTATTGTTACTCAATATCAGGCTTAATGGTGTATTATTTTATAAAAAAAATTGTAAAGTATAATGAAGGCTAATTATTGGACAATTTTTTTTTATAGAATAATTAATGCAAGAAAGAAATAATAAATTTTAGAAATTGGCCAAGATTGATTTGAAATTAAAAGGTGTCATGAATAAATTAAATTTTCAGATTATGTTTGAGCAAATTGGCGAATTAAACGATAATCGATAAGAATTTGCATAATTACCGGGTTAAAATTACCATGAACATACCCTTGAATAATAATCGAGCTTAATGTAATTAAGATAACAAACCGTTTGTTACCTTATATTGTTATTTTTTCAGAGCCACCTCGTACGTCTCCTCAGCAGGATGCTAGTGTTACTGGAGGACCTCAAATTCCTCCGCCACCTTCGTCGTCAAATCCACATCCAGCGCCTATACAAGTAATCATTCATTTCTTAATTTTAGTGATTTAATTTTAAACTAAAAATATTTATTTGATTAAAGAAAAAAATTTCTTAATTGTTCAATCTTTTTAGAATTATTTTCTTTATATTTAAAACAAATTTTTTCGCCGAAAATTTTTTTTGAAAAAAAAAAAGGTAAAGTACCCAGTACTTGAACACTTATAAAAATAGGACCAGTACTTGAACAGGCTTTTCGAATTGTTATAATACAAAATCCGTAAATTTATTATGAATAATATAAGCATATTATAATTTATTAAATGATACAGTAATTGATTTCTGTAAGTTTTTTCAATTATAAATCAAAACAATTATATTTTTATCAACTTAAAAGTTGACATGTCGAGAATCGCCGATATAGATGCTATTTTTTTCATGAAAAAGGTACTAAATCGTAAACCGAACAATCATTAAAAAAAAACGGTATATTATCATTTTAAGTAAAAAAAATTGTACCATCTAATGAAATAGTCTTTTCTAAATAACATATATTTTTTGCAAAGACATAAACTATAATTTTTATATTAAATTTTAGCGTTCAACTATACCTCGAAATTTTTAAAGCGGTACCCATAACCTGAACAGGTTGAGGCCGTATAATTTTAACAGCACTATAACCTCTAATAGGTTTATAGACTAGTGATCAGCATTGT